GTTTGAGTTGTATCCATATTTATGCGTCTTCCCGTGCGCAACCGTTAAATATAGAAATGATACCCTAGAAAATGACGACACTTCACGAGTGGCTTATTTCTATCTTTCCTATAACATATATGATTTTTATCCTCGCATGCAGGGATAACAAGAAACGCGGCTGTGCCTTCGTGCAAAGCTCTCCACCGCTCCAATCCTAAAGCTCCTTCTGGTATCTACTGGATTGACCCGAACCGTGGTTCCCACGATGACGCTTTCCAGGCCTACTGCGACCAGTGCACAGCGGGAGGAGGTTGGACACTAGTGTGGAGTTACAACTTCACCAACTACGGCAGTTTTACGAGTACCTCCAATGCAGTAACCCCGAGACCCAACTGGCCGGTGAGAACGGCGAATGTACGAGTTTCAACGACCGCACCGCGAGGTGAGACCAACTATGAGGCAATGAACTTCAAATTGTGGCGTCGACTCGGTAGGGAGATCCTGATCAAGTCGAACATCAATAACTGGATCGTGTGCAAGCCTGGCAGCGGGAGCCTGGTACTGTGGAAGGCAGGTTCGATCAACTGCAGGGTCGTTAAAGTTGTGGCCAGAAAATGTCCAACCACTGTGCCGACAAGTCTAACAATCCATTCTTATGGGCCATATTTGGCTAACTCCAGTCTATACTACTACTTCGATGGCTACACTGGAGCTAACTGGCCCACCCACGACCCTTGTGGTATTAATGCCGCTAAMCACCTACACAACATAGCTAACCCACACGGTAACATATACGTGAGATAAAAACGGCTTATAGAATACACTGAAGTCGCCAAACCAATAGCCTCGGTTCCTCACGGGTCCTCTCTACTAACGACCGTGGAGAGGGTCCGTGGGGATCTGGGACCGAAAGTAATGGCGGCTGGGGAGAAGACTACCAAACCAAAAAACTAAGATAAGCATTTTAAACTTCAACTGTAAATGGAGATCAGTCATTAAATWAAATAAAAAGCTAACTCAGTCCCCGAAAGCTTTGTGTGTAGTACGATACTTTGTACAACAATCTGCCCATGCTCAAGGTGGAGTAGGGGCTTGAAAACTTACTATTCGATGTTATCCTAGAGTATTCATTTTGTGAGTTCTACTATTCGATTTTAATCTGGAGTTTTCGCTTTTTAGTTTTTTACATTTCGACTTTAACCTGGAGGTTCTACTATTCGATTTTAACCTGGAGTATTATTTTTAATTTTTACTATTGGATTTTAACCCTGAGTATTTGTTTTCTCTTTTTTTTTTCCTTCCACTTTTTGGTTTTAACCTGCAGGTATTCGATTTTTTCGTTATTCGATGTTTATATTGTTATTCTGCAGCTATCGCTTGTTACGGCAGGAATGATAGCGATAT